TGTTGCCAACTCGGATTTTGAAAAAGTCGTAGGTCAGATTAGAAAATTACGTAGAAATGGTACAATTTCCTTATAGAAAATACGTAGATCTACGTACTTTTTTTTCTAAGTGAAATAAAGAGAGTAGGGGTAGGTAAAAGTAATAAAACGACAATTTATATTACCCTAAAAGTAGTAAAGTTCACTTTTATTGTGTATCATTTTCAGAAATGTTTTCAGACAAATTAAATTTATACATAATTTTGTTAAAATGCATAATGTGTTCCTGCGAAGACTCGCGGTTCTTTTTTAAGCCACTTTTCGTGTAAAGTAATCCTGTGAGCGTATCAGTGTGAAGCCTGTTTCTTATGTTAGTTAGTATGAAACGGAACGTTTATTAACTTTTTCGCGAAAGTAAAGGAAACGATGCCCATTCAGCCTATTTTGCAAATTTGATAGAAAATACGTAGATTCTGGGACTAAAGTTCGTAGGTTTGCAAGGAAGGCTTAAAATACGTAGATCTACGTAAAAATACGTAGAGTTGGCAACCCTGGTGTGACGTGCTAATTTTAGGACACCCTACATATGAGTAATGAGTATGACAGGGCGCTCTGGATAATAGAATGCGTTACTGTAGCCAGAAGCGGTCAAAAGATGCAAGTAAAGCTTAAGAAAACAGACCTTATGTTTTCAAGCTTTTCATCGTTGCTAGTTTAATTTAATATTTAACTGTCTTTGAAGACCATAATGTACACACCAACATTTGAAACAATCTTTGCTTACGAGTAGTAACTTACTTTTCGTTTAATTTAAAACGGGCCACCTCAACAATAAGAGCACAGAGAAGCAATACGATCGCGCCGTAATCGAAGCAATATGTTTCAGTTAGGATTTAACTGAAGACTGGGCTGCCCTATTTCTCTTTTTGTAATCTAAAGTCTGTGTTACGATTAAAAGATTTTCCATCTTGCGAAAACAAATTAAAGGAGATTGTTTAAAAATACAAAGGATCAATTACGAATCTTGAACAAACACTGAACTTTAACGTGCCCGATATAAGGGCGATCCGCTTACGGTACGACGTGGAGCCAGCGGGACACCCCCGACCGTCTACAGGACGATATGATAAACTGAAATTAGATTTCAGAATCGTTCAATCGCGAAAATAAGACTTTTATTGCGATCCAGGTACAGGCAATATTCCAGGCGCTGCTTTCAACTACAGATTTCAAAGGGAATGAAAAAATAATCAAATGCCCGGAGCACAATGCAGGCGAGTGGGAAAAAGAAAGTTCACGGACTAGTCGCAGGTTTTTGCATTTTTATCGTGATCCTTTGCAGTTTCTGGAATAATTAGAGCTTATCTTTCTAATATAAATACTTTGAGCAATAAAATTCCTAGAGTTCATTCTTAGAGAGAATTTTTTGTACAAATACTTCAGGTTTCGACCCGGAGCTTCTCGCTTCGTTTTTCACGTAGGAACTGCTTTCAGGTGTCATGATTATGTCTGAAACGTTTGAATCAACTTGATTGTACCTACCTAATACCAGAGAAGATTCGTGCTCCGATACGCACGTAAAACATTAAAATGATTGAGACACGTCAGCCGTATTACGATATCAATAAAAATATTAATAGTCCTAGTAGGTACCAATGCTTGATACAATAATATCGTGGCATCATATTGAGTTGCATTGACAAGACATTATATTTTTAACGTGGCATGTCGAGTGGCGTGGCAGGGCTGTCAGCAAAATTTCAATCATTCTACATGCGGTACGTTTTCTGTGTCCTTATAGTGTTTGTGTGTGACGGCAAAGACGGCGTGAAATAGAAATCTATTCAATTACGGGACACTTCAACCGAGCCAATGCAGGCTGCAGCGGCGGGCGCATAAAACAGCTGCTTGAATAAGTGAAGCGTTCGGAGTGTACGAGATACTCGATAATCCACTTAGGTGGATCGAATAAACGGAATTGAATATTATTTGCTACGAAAAGATACTACTGAGTTTATGGGACTGGAAGCCAATTTGAGTAGATTCAAATAATTTAAGTTGAATAAAAAATTAGTTTATTTAGAGACTGAAAAATGCTGTAATCTTTCTGGTTGCCACCAGAAACCTAATAAAAAGGTTTTAACTATCTAGAACTTGTAATATCTCAAATAGAAGATAAACATTCTCACAAAACTCATACACGAGAACTTGACACGCTGAAAATAAAGCGGGAGACATTAATAAAAAAACGGGTGTCAGCCCTAATTGCCTTGGAAGGCATTAAGGCACATCTACACGTTCCGGGCTGCGCGGCTGAAGGAGCAAAAAAAAACATCTTACATTGAGAACGTTACGTTCCTTTATACAGGGCGTAGAAAACAGGTTGGGAAAAATTACATTAAACTTATACCGAGTGAGATACTTTTTTTATATTTTGTTCTGCCGTCTTCAACGAAATCTCAGCCTAGATACTAAGTGTATTGTAAAATATACGCCTACTTACTGTTTTTGTAATACCATAGTGACTAGTGATTTACAGTGCTTAGCAGAATATTTTCCTAGATAAGCTTAACAACATTTTTACGTAGAAGACATTTCCATTTTCTTCGGGATTTCACTGTTATATAGGAATAATAATTATTGTAATGTTATCCATTTACCGAGTTTTTGGTCAACCTATATCTGACACCCTATATATTTTTAGTGATTCGCAAGAAAAAATATTCACACGTACTCAAGCTATTTTCGTATAGCCATATCAGCACGAAGGGTACAGACGAATGGAATTAAAATACATTTAGACTTGTACAGTCAGCGTCAAATAGATCGTGACACCCAAAGTAGCCAAAAAGTTCGCAACACGTCTTTGTTACAATTGGAATAAGGTTGTATTGTCAACTTTTTTATCACTTTGGGTGTCACTAACTATTTGGCCCTAGTTGTACTAAACATGTGCCAGATTGTAAAGACAACACAATATGGACGACAAAAAATAATCCGATTCTGGAAGGAAAGTCATCAGCAAATGATGCTGATCAGGGATCCAAGAAGTAGTCTTTGGGATTTGTGACCGTGGTTGGCAAAGACCAAGACTAACAGAAAAATAAGAAATATTCATGATGATTTCACTTGAATGGTAGACTTTCGCCACATACAGTGATCACTGATCACGCAATTCAATTAGAAGATTTCTATATTAAATAAAATCACTTGTCAATTACAAAAACTATGGTCACTTCTCATAAAACTAACAGCTGTCAAGTCGTTTGGGAGTGTTTTCCCGTAAGGAAATTTTATTTTATAGAGCTTTAGAAGCTATCGCTATACAAGTTTGATGAATAATTGGAACTTCTGTGTGTTTCTAGAAGGTCAACCTCATAGAGCTTTAAAGGGTAAACAAGTTATCGTAAGCAAAATTCTTGCTCCATTTAGGACGTAGGTAATTAAAATTCAAGTTCGCTGCACCGTTAAAACATTAGTTCTATCGTTTAACCAAACTATTTGTTGCGTTAGTTCGCTTGAATGTCAAAGTCGAACCAAAGTAAGGTGTACAGATTGCAGTACAGTGAGTGTTCGGATCGAGATATGTGCGTAGTACATACCTAATACATAGGAGTATACCGATGGTCAACCTATAACTTTGGAGGAAATCTTTGCACAATCTTGACTCGAACTTGACAGTTTGTCCTTTTATGTTTTTTCTTCAGAACCCATGATTTTTGTCGACACGTGCGGCATTGATCACGTAGGGGGTAGAGGGGGTAGGTTTTAATTAAATTGCTTTATGTATGTGTGGGTCGCATTAAACGTGCTACTTGCACGGCAAGCCCTCTAATTTGCTTGTGAATTAAGCCAGAGTTCTTTTAGTTAAGCTAAAAGCAAGGATTAAAAGAAATTGTGTGGAGCTCTTTTAGATACGTAAAGTATTTTAACTAAGCATCATTTAAATTCATTTGCTTTGTACACGGTTGGAAAATAAAGGTATGAGACCTCTATAAAGTAGGTATGTAGTATGTATGTAGAATAAAACTGGTCTAGCAGTTGCGTTGATTCTGTCTTGAAAGTTGATGAGAGCGAAATTATAATAAGCTGATATTTAAAAATAGGACTAAACCAAGATTTGTGTGCTGTTTGGACCCATTCTACCAGCTCGCACTAACTAACTCTTTTATAATACGAACAGCTAGGGAATTCGCTGCTGTTTTCCGAACACCATTAACTTCAAAGTGAGAATGAATTTACAGGGCAGTTATGTACCCACCCAAGACTGCATCAGGTATGATTGCGGCCAAATAACCCGTCTTGATATACTTAAAAAAATGCTTAAAAAATTCAAAAGGTTGCACCACCTTACTTTAACCATAACTATACAGCCAGGATCTACAGCTTGATCGCCAATAAAGACCCAGCCAGTGAAGATCAAGTTTGTCCCAGGGGAAAGTTAAACTGTCATTGGATCCGCAACGAAATTAATCAGAAGAACATAGGAGTTCGAAGTTAAGATTCAACTTCCCTCCATTGCAAAGTTGATGTCTAGTTTTATGTCTTGAGCTAATATACTGTTTTGGCCCTATTGCGAGTGTTTCCTTAAATTGCTTCTTGCATATAATCACCACCAGCTATAACTATCTCTCAGCACTATACAGTCTACTCCATCGCCCATTAACATCAGGTGACAAAAGCAACCTTTATGAAAAACTATAATCATAACCGGTTTTTCTCGTATGGAGTTTGACAGACTTTTGACGTTTGTTATAGTCCAAGTAATATGGTGTTAGGCCCAGAACAGACGGTGAAACGCAACTCCAACGAAACTGAAATTTTCTGATGATTCTGATGAATGAAACTGAAACTGAAAATTTCAAACTGGTCGCGTCATGTGTGGTCTCTCAACGGACGCTATGGCAGAAACTTAGATGCAACTCAAAAGTAACTAGCAGTTGCAGTTTCGTTGCAGTTGCGATTCACCGTCTGTTCTGGGCCTAACCCAGCTCAATCCTAGCTTACAACTAGGTACTCACTCCTCCGGCAGGCTGGGCGCGCCCTCCTCCTGCCCCGGCGCGTTCACGTGGTACACGCAGAAGTTCTCCAGCAGCGCGCGCATGTCCACGAAGTTGAAGAACGGTTGGAAGCACACATCTGAAACATAGCGCCAGTTACACTCTCTGTATACAACGAACAACATAAACACTTTATGAGTTATACTCTCTGTATACAAAGAACAAGAACAATATGTATACTTACGCAATAAAAGAAATTCTATTCTATTCTATTCTATTCTATTCTTCATGAGTTACACTCTCTGTATACAAGGAATTACACGTCCATTTCATAAAATGCACTTTTTGTATACAAAGAACATATTCACTACATGAGTTACACTCTTGGTATACAAAGAACAACAAATACACTTCAAACACTCTTTGTACACAAAGAATAACATACTTCATGAGTTGGACTCTAAGTATACAAAGAACAACAAATACACTTGCAAGTTTCACTCTCTGTATACAAAGAATATGCTCTCTATTACTTATACATGTCACTTTAAATAATAAAATATCCTTGGACATCTTACACTGCGCTTCTAGTCCCAAACTAAGCAAAGCTTGTACTATGGGTACTAGACAACGGATATAAACATACTTAAATACTTTTTTTTTGTAAATACATACATATTATACATAGAAAACACCCAGTCCAATACAAACAAATATGTTCATGCACACAAATGTTTGTATTGTGCGGGAATCGAACCCGCAACCTCCGGAATAGTAGTCCGTTTCGAACCACTACACCAAACGGCCGACAACTTTATTTCTAAAATCGCTAGTACTCGTAACGTGAATTAATTAAAACACACCCAGCTATGAATAATCTAGTTAAATAGGATGGATGAATTTATGAATGACGTATAAGAATAATCATAAAGGTATTGATAAGTATTTTCATTCTCCATGGGATGCTGAGCGTTCTTGAGTATCGTGAGGATTGTGCACACATATACCAATAGCAGCGATATAAGCACGACGAGGGCAAATAAACAATCAACTGCCAAAGGTGTTAATTTACACATTACAAAATTATGTTTGTCCTTTTAATTATTATTGCAACTGATATCAATTCACAAATAATGATATCACGGCAGCGCAACAACAGTCGTTGCAGCTTTGGCTTGTGGATGTAAAATGAAGAAAAACACAAACAAAAGAAACAAATGTAAATATTAAATGAGACAAGGCCAGCTCGGACCTATATCTGTGATTTAAGTAGAATAAATAACAATTTTGTAGTTGACAGTTTCTTTTAAGTTGACAGGGATAAGATGATGAGAGGCCCGGCTACTGTTGGGCCTTTTCATTAAGGTGCCAATCAAGTTTGAACGTCACTAGTATTGTTTTGCTGTCCGCTTGCCACAGTAAAAGAGGTAAAAAATAAGACACCTTCACATTCATAGCGCCTCCATTTAGAAACAAAAGTGCAACGCTTAGCGAGCATTGTGCGAAAGCAAACTTAGCACGAATGTGCTAATTTTCTTGCAAACAGTGATTGAGTCTGTGTGTACGAATTTTTGCGGGCAATTTCCAGCCACTTCGATGGCTCCTACGTATACTGGCGTAAGTGAAAAAAGTAAATTTTACAGGAGAGCCATTTTAGTGGCCAGAACCATATTTTTGGGTCATATCTTCTGACCTACTAAAACGAATTTAATGAAATTTCACATTTAGCCTTAACATGTAATGCTTTTGCTACTGCTGTTATCAATTTTTATATTTTTCTTATATATTTTGAGATTTTACGCATTGCCCTTTTACGTCGGCATATTTCTATAATTTCATGTATATTGTTCAACGTAAAGAGACTTAAATGACAACGTAAATATAATATTTTAAGCGATTACTCTCTTTATTTATGCATGTAATTATTTTAATTGTTATCATGTGCTATATCAATAATAAATCAGTTAGAAAAAGTCGTTTAATGTACCGTTTTACGTTTTAACGCAAATACGCCCATATACTGTGCTCGAGATTTAGTTAGGTCTTTTAACATAATGTGTCATATTTTTAAAAAATATAAATAACTTGAAAAAATCGAATTGCCTAAGGCGGGAATTGAACCCACGATGCCTTAGGCAGTTCGATTTTTTCAAGTTATTTATAATTTTCAAATTAGTTTGAGATGCGACTCTTAACGCTAAAAATTAAATAACTATATAATGTGTCATAATTTATAAATAAAACAATTTGCTAAATATTTTCATGGCTTTATTTAAGATTTGGATTATAAAAAATATATGTTTATGTAAGCAACTACTCGTATAGATTGACGAATCGTATGATTGGGCTTTATACGTGGCGTAGTTTTGCACATACGCCTATTTGCCTAAAATTTTATTTTGTATCTAATGGAAAAAAAATTTTTTTTTCTTACTGATGTTATAGATTAGAGCAAAGTGAAATCATTGCTTAAATAATTGGAAAAAGGCGTAAGCGGCAGTTTCGCCCTTATACGTAGGAGCCATCGCTATGTGAGGTAGGTAGCTTTATTTTTCGCTTTACTGTGTTACTCATACTTTAAGAATATGTAGAATTCGATTTTTTATAAGCCAGTACGAGTATACAATCAATTGTGTCACGGCCTTTGTACTTAATTTAGATTAAAGTTGATGGAATATTATATTTCAATCAAAAGGAACATTCACTTTTACCCAGATAAATAAAGTGACGAAGGTATTCCGTGGCGTTTGCTTATGATATTATGACTAAAGTGCTTGTCTGTTTTGACACATTACCACAAAGCCAAATAGAATGAAATAAAACTGAGTAGAAAGTCCTGGGGTCTACGCATATTTTTATACTAGCTGTGCCCGCGACTTCGTACGCGTGAAAACCCGTTTTCACAACATTTTTCATTGTTGCTCTGCTCATGTCTGCATTTTGCATTACTGCTGCTATTACTTGTAGCGTGATGGTATATAGCCTATAGCCTTCCTCCATAAATGGGCTATCTAACACTGAAATAATTTTTCAAATCGGACCAGTAGTTCCTGAGAGCGCGTTCAAGTAAACAAACAAACGAACTCTTCAGCTTTATAATATTAAGTATAGATAGAACTTAGACTTTGTAAAGCCGGGTCCAGACGGGTGTTATGTGTAATGTAAGATTACGTGTAATATATGTAATACGAATTCTACGTGTAGACGGCACTACGAGCATTACATGTAAAGTGCACGATACACGATACGTCTGGCCCGGCCTAAGAGCCTATGAACATAGAACCTATGTCCTTTAAACGCAACACGACGCGTTTTCCCAACAGTGGCATATGTGTAGCTTGAAACGCAACCTACTTCAGTAGCATCGCGTCGAGTCGCATCGTGTCGCGTAATCTCTGACGATACCGCGTGGTAACCTGAGCGACGAGACCCCACCACAGAACAAAAAGTTGATCATTTTCTCAAAACTTTCGCTATGCATAATTCGCAGCAGAGAAGGCATTTGCATCGCTAGCTGTAATTAAATAAATACTTATTCATTTTTAATTCTTACAAAAAAAAACAAAATATCCCTAACTTAAAACAAGTAGGTATACTCGTAAATGATACAGAGCGGCAGTACGCATTGGATTGCAATCGGCAGAAATGATGAGTGAGTATCCATTTTTTTAACATTGAATCTATTACTTCTATCAAACAACAAATACATGTGTAAATAAACAAGCGCGTGAATTCATGATCGTTACAGCTGAATTAGTTGGCGGGTCTTTTTATGAAAATCTTAGGTCCGTTTTTAGTAAATGTCAAGTCTATTTTCAGACGTGCAAAGTACTAATTGGAAAGGCTCCTCGGCTCGAGTATTTGGAGCTACACGGAGCTGTAAACAACGAAAAAGTTTCAGGTGGAAACCTAGGCAGGCTTAAATCAGGCGCTCCCGCGCACTGATATAATTATAATGAAGTCAATTAAAGTGCTGCAAGGAATAAAATTAAATATCAATGATTCTGTATATCTTATAGAAATATATCTAACCATTTTCTGGTGTTACGATAAGATATCCAGAGTAGAGACCCAGACAGGCCGAGGCCTGCTCCGGTCAACCGGATACCAGTGTGCCTACCATGAGTTTACGTTAGGTGAGCTCGCTAGCGACTGCGTAAAAAAATGACATTTAAATGTATGACATATTGTGCAGCGCCCCTAGCGGCTACTTTCAAGAAATAAAATCTTCATAGAATTTTTTGACGTATTCGCTAGCGAGCTCACCTAACGTGAACTCATGGTAGGCACACAGGTGGCACAATTTTAGGGAAACACACGCTCCGGGATGAGAGACGACGGCCGACTATTTTCTGGTGTTAGTAGATTCTTATTGCCAGCAATTTAATTAACTAATTCCCTTTACACTAAATAAATTTAAAAAATAAAAAGTAGTGTATATGCTTTAAAAATGTTGCCACTCAATTAATAAAGTTGTCGGGAATATAAATGCGGTTTACAAATTACTAATATTCCTGTGTGCCCCAGAAGCTAAATATGCACTTGGCCTAGAAGGGGTCCAACACAATATCCCTGTTAGCGCTCGGATCAGCAGATGCTTGAACCGTTCAGCTAGTTTCGTCTTGATATAGCTGATAAAATAAATTTAAAATTATTGCAAGCAAGATACTTGTGGCACTTTCTCGTCGGACTAACTACTTCAGTAGTTATTACAACCCACAAGTACTCACATTTACAATGCGCCGCGATGTAATTAGACTAAACTTCATACTATTTATTCCTAACTCAAAAGTAGTACCTACTCAACAATTGATTCTGGAATACTATCTATCAAGCCATCGACGTTTCCACAACACTAACTTCAAGTTAAATCGACTAACTGAACAGTTGTTTAATTGCGAATTTGCGACCTCATTATTTACCCAGTGGCGTTAGAGATTAACGGATCCCCCAACAAAAGTGTCGGGATCGTCTTAAAGGATGTCTGTCTGACGCGGGGGACGTGGATAATAGAGTTGAGACTCGAATAACACCGCAACTTGCTGAAGAACACCCTAGAAAGTTTAATTTGACGTGACTATATCTATACTAATCTAAACCAATATTATAAAGCTGCTGAAGAGTTTGCTTGAATGCGCT